TAATTAGAATTATGTAATATCACTCTCTTTCTCTATTTATCTCGTTCATTCTCTCTGCCTTCTCTCTCTCTCTCTTTCACCTTCTCTCTCTCTCTTTCACCTTCTCTCTTGTAGTATAAATGCTTTTCATTCGCTTTACATATCACAGCTAACAATGCAATGATTCTAAAACTGTTGCACTAAATCGCTTCGCTGACCTTCAATCAAGAAGAAGAAGATGATGATGATGATGATGATGAAGAAGCAGTCGGAGCTGCATCAGTTATAAGCACACAGCCAATGGCCAAACACAGAAACTTGATTGAAGCAAATGAAAACGTAAAGTTCAACTTGTTTAGTCGCGGTTGCTGCGTCTGCTTCTTCTTTAGTTGCTGCAGCTATTGTAATTGTTGTTGTTGTTGCTGTTGTTTTAGTTGCTGTTGCACTTCTGAATGACTTTTTTGCCATAGCGTCTTGACATTTCGCACAAACATAAAAAGAAGAAGCAGCAGCAGCACCACCATCACAAAGAGTCGCTTGCGTTGCTTTTGTTTTGTAACTTGTTGCAGCATCATCAACAACAACAACAACAACAAAAATTAGCCCGAAGACGGGCAAATTGTAAATGCCCAAATACAAATAATTCACAGAATTCACAAAAATTACAGAATCTTCACTGCATTATCTATCGCTGGCACAATTAATGCACGTAGATACATATATCTAGCTAATTTGAGATAACAACAGCAGCAGCAAGTTTAAAATTCTTTTTGAGCAGCGAATGCTTTATTGTAAATGTCAAACTGTTAGCGCGAGTTAGTAGTCGGCACAGTGGTTCGAATGCATATAGAAAATGCTATTCTGTTTGGCATTTTAGTGGCATTTTAGCCGTGGCTAGATCTTATCTTATAGTGCTAAATTGAGCAGACTAACAAGGCTTACAGACCATGTTCTAGGCTTTTTAGTAAAATATGAATCTGTAACCACAGTTGCTTTATCAAGATTGCTTTAAAGATTATCCCCAGATCCCAAGATTATCAGTCCAAAATTGTCTTCTAAAGTCTGATTGAGTATCTAAAAATAAAAATTAAACTTTTAATATAATTTGTATATATTAAAATATTTATTTTAGGAAATTAATATTAGTATTTAATATCAATATTAATTACAGAGAATTATTAATATTAAAAATTAATCCCCATTTGATATTATTTTATAAGACTATAAAATACAAATGCAAAATTAAATTTTATTAATAAATATTATTAAAAGATATCCCAGTGGATTCTCTCTGCTCCTGCCAATTAATACCAATCATAATAAATAAAAACTTTTAATACTAACTGATGATATAAATATCTAGCGTACATTTAGTTAATATTTTAAACAAGTTTATATATTTAACTGTTTGCATTGCCATTTGTCTTCAGACTTAATCTAAATTTGCATAGTTCATTTTTGGCTCAGCTGTAGCCTGTTCCCTAAATGGCAGCTGCATTATGTATTGTCATTAACATTTCTCAAACTGAGGTAGGCGCAAGCCGTTCGCATACAATTGACGACTACTGTGCAACAAAAGGCGTTGCTGCCATTGTCGCTGAGCAGTGCGGCGACGCATGCAACATGCAACAGCAAATAACGAAAATGGTTCGAGTTTGGCTCATTGTTTGGGCTCTGGCTGTGGCTTTAAGCCAAATGCCAAATGCGGCGGACAGTTTGAAAGGCACTTGACAAAAGACAAAAAGCCAAAAGGCGGCAAAGTTGAAACAAATTGAAAGGCTTTTTGCTCGTTGCTTTTTGCTTTTGGCTGTTAACTCTTTGCTATTGAGGCAGGCTCTGTGGAAAGTATCAATGGAAGTTATTTTAAGGCCTTTTCCTGTCAGCTTTAGCTCAAAGCCTGTTCGAAACTCTTGGCTGTAGCACAGCATTTAGTTCGTAAGAATCAAATTTTTCGTTTTATGGTTATTTCTCGTATGCCCTGGGAGATGCCGGTGCAACTGCTTTTTGATGACTTCAGCCGATGGCAGTACAGACAGAATTCCGATCTATTGCCTGTTAACAAAATGGAGCAGAAGATCTATTTGCCATTCGACATGTTCTACAAGGACTTTGTCACCTGGCTGGCCAACGAGAAGCTCGGCTTTCTGGCCCATCAATTCTGGGAGAAGCTGTCGCCGGCCCAAATGCACAGCTATGACATGAAGGCGAAGGCAATGCATGAAGCTGCGAAAGCAAAGAAAACAAAACCAGCCCAATTCGTTAAGAAGCCCGCCGTCAAGGCGCCCACAAAGAAGCGCGGCCTGCAAGGCAAGAGTGCAAAGCGTTCCAACCAACCCGAGCCTAAAAAGGCCCTAAAGAAGAGTATTACGACGACGAAACTAAAGAAAACTCGTTGAGGAAAGTGTTTAAAATTTGATGACAATGTCAATTTAAATATTTTAATCAATTACCTCACACACACATACACAAATTACAGTTTGCTATCTATCCCTCTGGCTACGATTGACTTTAACTGGAGCGCTCAAAGTTTATATACGTAAAAAGGAAATCTGACAGGAAAACAGTGAACGCAGCCACAGCTACAAAATTTGATGTAATTCTTGTGTATTGTGGAAATTCGGAGTTCTAATTAACAAATCACCACAGACAACCAGATTAAATCAAATTTATAGTGCATTCAAAATATGAGGAGCAAACAAAAAATGTATAGAAATAATATCTAAAATCGCATTGAGCTGAGATATTGACAGAAATTGCTGAATATTTGTTATATATATTTAAACCATTTTATAATTCAATTATTGAGAATTCATAATATATTTCAATTATAATTCTATAACTTATAAGTTCTGTTTTTGTAGTCTCTGCAAAGAATTCTTGACAAGTATAAGAAAATGTATTTGCATATCTCTCGTGAAGTAATAAAAGCTATTTATATTGATCTATTTACGATAAAAGCAATTCTAACGGCCTCTGCTCAAATCGCTCATATGGAATACTAAAGAGAACTTCGCGCTCATTACAATAAATTCCAATGGAATCGATAAATGTGTCTACATGAATGCGAAAGCTCTTAAACAGATATTTGTTAAGAAATAGGTAAATGTCGATATTCACGTTTTATTCAATTTTAGGTCAACTGTGCTAGGCATACAAATAACTAATAATCAAATTATTCTAAGCAATAGAGATTGTTACAGCACTTTTTTGAAAAATATGTGATTTGCAAATAATACATTAAATCATCTCTAATTTCAATATAAAGAAATATAAAATTAGTATGCATTTTAAATATAAAAATATATCTTATTTATTCACTAAATAATAAAATATGTATTCACTCACGTGCGATCTGCAATGTTCACTTATGAAATGGAACCTAATGCAGAGTCAACGGCATATGAGAATGAACGATTTGATCTACCTTCAGCGGATTAGAGTTACAGGCCAAATAAATACACAGCAACTCTTGCCCAATCGCAGAAAGGTTAATATGAATATTATTTATAATATACAGAATTAAATGTTATTCGCGGGATTCGAACCTTGCTCTTTTGGATTGGCTGGCGACGACTCAACGCACGACGCCACAACAGAAATCACAATGAGCTTGCTAAATATTCAGCTAGTTCTAGTTCTTTTCAATACTTGATCACAAGCAGTTAACAAGTTGTTGCAAAGCAGTTCATTAATAAAGCAGTGCTCGCTGCCAACACGCGCGCTTATAATGTATTCAAGCACTCGGTTTCATCAATTAATTAAAATTTCAGCCTCTGGTGCTTCGACAGCGTTAAACACTTACAATTTGCACACATAACTCAGCTCGCTCCACTCATGGATGTGTTGAAAATAAGGTGTGAAACTCAAGTAATATGATATTGGGGCACTACAACTACTACTACTACTACTATTACTACTACCAAGCCCCTGGCACAACGTAGGCGTTGCCCCACTCAGTTTTTTTTTATTTTGGGCGCCTCATGCCGTTGCGAGGCTGCTGCATAAATTCGCCTGATCAAAATTTTCAACGCTGCATTTTCGTTCGAAATCTTGCGCATGTATGATATTTCAATTTTCAATTTGTGACCACGTTTTTGCGTGGTTGAAAAATACCTTTTGTTTTTGTTATTTTGACTTTTTGTTTTGGTGTAATGGCACTTTTTGTGCCCAGACATTGTGGGTCAAAGAGCCAAGAGTGACGCATACGAGGCTGCAGCTGGAAGCTATTTGCAGTCAACTTTGGGTGTCTGCTGCTCGTGGCCAGTGCCCACGCTCTGTCATACCTATGTTCAATTGTCTGCGTATGTATATGGATGTGTGTGTATGTATGTTTATATGTAGTTGTTACACTGTGTCACGAGTATGTATTTACAAAGTTTGTATATGCTGACAGCTAGCGAAATACCTTATATGTATGCTGAAAAGTTGGTTAAAAAGAAGGTTATGTTTATAAATATATAAAAATATACAAAATAGTAATAATAATATAAATTACATAAAGAAGAGAGTAGGTTAATAATTATTCATTCTCTACTACAAAGATACTACATATTAATTAAATGAATTTAAAATAATACTTGTCTTCTACTTAACCAGCAGGGTACAAAAATTACTTGAGATTCTGCATTGATATCAAAGCAGTGCAAGGAAAGATTAAGTAAGCAGTTCAATCTCATTCGCAAAGCAGTTCAACTCAGCCAAAATTTTATAATTATATGTAGTAAATTTATGTTCATATTTATATGTTTACATTTATACTCTTGGCCCCAAAGCAGGGCTATTTCTTATTTATTTATTTATTTATTACAATCTATTGACAATTAGGTACAGTGATATTGAATTTGTGCACGTTTCATGGCTAACTGTTGCCTGCGGCGCTGCGCGAGGTGTCAACAAAGCAATGAAGTTAACAACAAAATCTGTCGTTTTGTTGTTGTTGTTGAGTGTTGAAACTGTAGCTATTGATTAATTATTGTTGGCTTCGTGCAACCTATTAACACTTGACCTTGTTTGCATTTCAGATACCTCCAGCTATTACTTTCCATCACAAAATCGTTTTGTGCCATCCTCTGGCTCTTTCCCGCGCCAGCTGCAGCAGCAGCCGCAGCAGACACTTAATGGCTTTCGCGGTAGCACAGGTGGCTTCTCGCCCGCACCGGGCTCATACCAGGAGCAGCTCCTGTTCATAGCCAATGAGAACGGCAATAGCAACAAGCAAACAGCGATTACGACGAGCTCGCCGTATGGAGCACCATTTGGCGCTAGTCCACAATTTGCCGTAAGTTTTCCAACTCTCGATCGACTCGAATTGCAATCGCAGCTCTAAATTTAAATATTTATCGTTAGTTTTTCGTATTTTTTACTTTTGCTTTTGGCTCAATCAAAGTTTTGGCTAGTTGCATTTTTTTATTGAGTAGCGGAGAGTTAACAAGTAACAGGTAACAGATAACTGGCAACAGGTAACAGCTAACAGGCAGCAGGCGATGTACGTACAGACTGTGCTGCAGGCAATTAAGTAACTTGTTGTCTGTTTCTGGGCCTGAGCTGAAGACGGAGTCGGAGACGGGGCTGGAGTCGGAGTCCAGCTCCAAGTCTGAGTCCGAATCCATGTCTGACTTTTTGGCACGCAAAGCACTGCCAATCAACGCCAAAAACGAAATCAAATCAAATTCATAAATTACCACATGCCACATGCCACATATGAAATTTGATTAAGCCAACTGCAAAATGCAAACAGCAAGGTGCAGCTAGCCGCTAGAGATGAGAGCGTGACACGCGTGTATAACGCAATAGTTGAAGCTAAACTATATCGTATAAGTATAAACCTAATTTAAACAAATAATATTACAAATATGTATTTCCTGGCAAATATTTCTACATAAACATTTTTCAATTGCAATAGGAAAAGAGTTTTCTGGGAAAATTGTTTAAATATCAGTTGAGGAAATTAAATTAGCTTCGCCCAGTATTGCAGCTCTTCCAGGCTCACGCAACATAAATCGAATTACAGACTGAACAATGCAAGAAGCGGCGGGCGTACGACTGACTGACTGACTGAACGGTCAGAGAGATGTGGAAGCATTTCCAAATCCATTTTCCCACTTACTTTCACTTTGCTCGGCCCAAGCGGCGCAAAATGCGCAGACAAAAGCCGATGTCTTCTGCATATCAACGAATCAACAATAAATAATATTTGTTGAATTACTCGAAATGACTCGAATGTGCTTGCTTGACTCTTGGCGGTCCCTTAGAGGAACGTGTTCCTAATTGAAAAACTGTATAATCATATTGTCTACTGCCAGTTGGCAGTCATGAGCACGCACTTTGCTGTCGACTACCCGGTTTGACCCTAATCGAATCACGGTATGTCAGTGGCTCCCAAGTGCGGAGCGTGGCTGACAGTGTGAATAGCTGGAGATGAACATGTAAAGCGATGGAGCAGGAGTTGGAATGCACAGAAACAGAAGCTGTGATAGGGAGAGAGACGGAATCTGGAACTGGGACAGAGACTATAACAGAAGCAGGAGTAGCAAGGAAGATAGACGGAAACAGAGAAGTGGACTGAAGCTTAAGCAAAAGACAAAGAGAGGGACAAAGACAGAGACAGAGAGTAGGAATGAAACAGAGACCGCAACACAAATAGGGATAGAAACAGGAACAGAGAATGGAACTAGAACTTGGAGAGCGGCTCAAACAGATGCAGCGATACAAACAGAGACAGGATTAGAGACAAAGAATAGAACTGAGACAAAGACAACAGAAATAAGGACAGGAATAGAAACAGCCACTGTAATATGAACAAAGACAAAGAGAGCGAGAGGAATAGATATTGAGATACGAATGGGGCTAGAGACACGAATAGGAACAGGGACAGGGAAATGGATCGGGACTTGGGCAAAAGCTCAAAAGGAATCAGATAAATCACAGAAGACAGGCATAACACTGTAGCAGGAACGATCGGGATAGAGATAGAGAGAGGGCAGAGTCAAGGCAGCTGGAGCTTCGACAAAAATAGTTGTGGGCATTGAAGCATCTCAACCAGAAAACGCACATTAAGTGCTCTTTCTTATCTTCCTCTAATATCATCAACCAGTGGCAGTGGACACCTGGACACTGATTCGCCTAATGGAAGTGACTTCTTAGTGTCTTCGCATCGCGCCACCTGTAAACTCAATTAAGTGCAAAGGCTTCTCGGGCATGCAGATGATGCCTCGTTGCTTCTGAACAATTTGACAGGCGCTCGGCTGTTTATAAATTGAATAAGCCTTCTTTCCGCAGCATACCAAACCATAAATCAAGCTGGGAATGATTTAAAATTATTCATATAAGTTCAGTTGACTATATTTCTTTCTCTTTCTCTTTGCCTATTTTTATTATATTAAAAAAAAATTTTTTTTTATTTATGCAACTATTTCTGTGATTTCTCAATGAATAACGTATAATTAAAATACATATTTTCATATAAAGACTAATAATTTAAATATTTTCTAGTAATACTAATCATAATATCGAATTTTATTATATTTAACATTTTTATAAATTTTTGCAAATATTCAAATTATTATATATTATTTGAGTTAGAGTAACAAATTATTAAAATACATCTTTCCATATAAAAAATAATAATTAAAATGTTTTCTAGTAATACTAAAATTGATCATAATATCTAATTTTATTATATTTAAAATTTTTATAAATTTTTGCTAATATTTCTGTCATTTTTCAATGAATAATAAATAATTAAAATATTTCTTCCATATAAAAAATAATAATTAAAATATTTTCTAGTAATACTAAAATTTATCATAATGCAAACTTCACTAAATATAGAAATATTTAACAATGGTATGTTTACTATAGATTATATGTAGATATTTCATATATTTTGTATGGCTTAATGTGATTTAACCATTAAATATTTGTTGGCTTCAAGTGAAAGCCCAATGCCAAAAGATGAGCACGTTATGCATTCTGTCACTCCTTACGCACTCTCTCTCACCCTCTCTCTCTCTCTCACACTCTCTTGCTGCTTGATTTCTTCAAGTCTAAAGTCGTGTAGTACGTGAGCAGCTTGTTTCATAGTTTATTATGCTTCCCCATATTGACAAACGACTTGGCAGTCGTTGCATCTGGCTTGACCGACGCGAGGCGATGCGACGCTTTCTTCTTTACAAATTGTAGCAAGTCCATTTGAGGAGTTGCCTCATTATGTGGCGAGCCGGGCTATTGCACCCAGGCGACAACGCCGCAGACACTCGGTGAAATTTGTTAGCCGGCAATTGTCAGAGTTAGTTAGGGCTTATATTTAATTAATGACTGTTAATCAGACTAAGACTTGTGGGTAACTGAGACGCATTTCTCTCTGGCTAATTGCTGGAGAAAATCTGGCTAGTCGACTGCTGGGCGAGGGGCGTGCGGCGTGGGCGTGGCCATAGGGTACTTTGTGATGCGTAAACAACGACGTCAAGAAGCGGAAAGAAAAACCCAAAAGCAGCAATAAAAAAAAAAAGCAGCACCAACTGCAATCAAATGCGCCTTTTAGCAACAAAACTTGCGTTTTGTATGCAATTTGTTTAACAGAGCAAAACTGCAGCGCAGCTCAGCTCAGCTCCACTCAGAGTTGGCGCTGCAGCACATTAGAAGCACTTTCAAAAAACAAGAAAAAACAATAATAATGCATAATATAACAACAAGTACTTAAGAGCTCGAAGCCGAAACGAAACGAAACGAAACGAGCGACTGACAGCGATTTCAGTAATTAGCGGCCAGTCGAAATTCGATTTAACCTTGATACACTTCAATCAAACATTTTTTTATATTATTATAGATTTTCATTGTGTCGATAGTTTGTTTGTTGTTGTTGTTGTTCGATTTTGATTTGAAATTCATTTGCAATCAGCTTTCAATTTCTGGAGCTGAGGTCTTAAAGCGCTTTGGCATTGCATGCAACACGTCGAGTGACTCGAAGCCCCCCAATGAGTGGGGCAGAACAGCCAGCGTTAGCTGCCTCGAGTGGCTCCATTGCCCGACCCAAGTGCACTGTTTGGACATGCAAATGAGCCCAAGACACGCATTGTCAACCTACATCGATGGCAGCTCAAACTGCATTACAAATACTCCTGTCAATCAGTCGAAAGTGGAGCGAACAAATGAATAGATGAAATGCAATTAAAACGAGCCTTAGGTCAGCTTTAGGGCAGCTTTTCTCAGGTTTTGTCAGCTTTGAATTGCTTTTCACTCAATCTTTTTTTGGAAAATAGATTTAAAAATGATTTTAAAAATTATTATGCAATCTTTAAAAACATATGTAGCTGATATAATAATAATATATTGGCTACCATATATGCATTTGACTAATACGATTGTTATAATAATGTTAAATTTATATATTAATATATTTTAAATGTGAATAGTATAGTGGAATGTTGAATAGTTATAAATTAGTTATAAATTACATACAAGTATTGTTGAAATTATATAAACATATCATAAAAATTTCATATAAAGAAATTTTAAAGCACTTACTAAAAATGCAATTAAATACTTTCTTAACATTTTTAGGCAATCTTTAAAAATTTAATGTAATTTACTACTATTTCACTCTTCAGGAAAATGTTTAACGTAGTTCGGGAAAATATTTTTAGTAGCTGCGCTCGGTTTTTTATGAAGTTGCTCAAACAATGCTAAAAACTCTTTTAATGTCTTCTAATGTCACTTCATGAAAATTAATACATATATTAGGCTATGCATAATTCCAAATGAATGCAGTTAATATATACATGTCTATCCATCTATCTATATATCTATCTATCTAGCTAGTCAGATAGTTTGTGTTTATAATAAGTTTTTTTTTTAAACATATTTAATTAATTTTTTTTTTTAATTATTTGATTTTATAACAAAATCTATATCTCAGCTACTCAAACAATTTTGTTATAACAGTTTTACTTTTCGGTAATTTATTATTTAATAGCTTATATTTTGTGTTTAGTTTTATAAACAAATAAAATCTACACATATATATTTTCATTATTCACTCAGCTGGTCAAACAACTTTTTAGAATTGTTATGCTTTTAGTTAATTTATAATTTTAAAATTTATTTTTTATTTTTATTTTGTATGCATAAATTTCAAATTTATATTGCAACATAAAAGCTCTGCGCAGTTAATGAACCAACATATTTATTTGTTTTACTCTTTCTCCCTCGCTTTTGCTGTTTGTTTCCCACAGAAACCGAGCCGTCAGACGGACTATTACGATATCTCGCCACGCCCCTTTGGTGTGCCTGTCAGTGGAGGCGGTGGCGCAACGACGTCCGTTTCTGGATTTACACGCTCCAAGGCGATACGCAATGGCAGCGCCAGCGGTGCCAACAGCTTGGGGAGCAACCTGAGCGGGCTGCAGCCACAGACGCAGCGCGTCAATGTGCCACACCAGCAGACGCAGTTTCTGGCGCACTTCAGTGAGGCAACGGTAAGGAAATGCCAATGGAGAGCTCATAGATCGTCAGCTGGGCCGACTTGGCAGATAGCTGATAGATCAGACACACACAGAGAGAGAGATAGAGAGAGAGCGAGAGAGAGATAGATAGCAAGCAAAAACAAGACAAAAGTAAAAGCAAGCAAAACAGAAAAACATTTTGGCATTGCATAACATTTGAACAAAACAATTGGCCATGCTCTGATTTGGCCAATATCAGTTGCTCTCCGTGTCTACCTCTCTCCCTCTCTCCCCTCTCTCTCCTCTCTCTCTCTCTTTCTCTGTGTGAGACGGCAACTGTTTAGCCAGCAGACAATTCACAACAATCCCAGAACCAGTTGTCAGCCACTAAAGCCACAAACAAAACAGATATATGTATATATATATATATATATATGGATATGGCTATATATATATGTGTATTTATATGGATCTATCGAATGAAATCATTTTTACCTTTCACCAGATCATATTCGAAAATGAGCTCGCATAAAGTAAACAATTGGAGCAACAGCATTTCATTCAACAACCTACCGTTACTTGAGACTATTTAACATATTTAGATAGGAAATGGGTTTATCTAAGAAATATATACATATATTCCGCTTGAAGTGCACAAATACCTCAAACAGCTCAAACTGATTGAAATGTTGGACGAGCTGTTTTCTCTGCCATTGTTTTGCTTATCTCTCTCTCTCTCTCTCTCTCTCCATCTCTCACACGCCTCCCACTCTGATAAAGTTTGGTATTCGACTTATTGGACATTAAGTTCATTATTGAACTTAATTGCCCTCATTTGTTATTTAATTGCAGCGAAAGTGTTGCAATGTTTAATCTTGGCTTAGACCCACAAAACACAAAACACAAAACCGATTTGCGTTGAAATTCATTGACGTCCCACAGCATTGGCAACAAAAGTCAACAACTTTTGCCAGCTTTTTATGGGCAAGAAAAATTATCTTTGCCTAAATACGAAATATGAAAGAGTTTGTAAATTTCATATGCGGCAAAGATCTCTGAAGAGCTTATAAGAGTTTGGTATGGAAAGTTTCGATTGGAAGCGAATCTGCTTTGTTGATATGATATAATATTAGAATTGCATTTTCCTAAAATATATTTTATTATAATGTCAAGAAACTTTCAAGTAAGAGCTCATAAATGAAAAATCTCAGAAATTTCAACAGAGAATTTCAGTTGGAATATAAAATCATTTTGCTAGAATTGAATTATAGAAATTTTTAATTTTAACATCCCAAAAGAAATATATATAATATTATGGTATAGGAAGATATAGCTGTAGAAACAAATTAAATTCTGATTTTCTTTTAAGTAGTACTAAAAAAAAATATATTCTATGAATTGTTTGCTGGATCTCAGTTCATATTCTATTTATCCTTCTCCTATCGTACACTTTAAATATTAAAAGAGCTATTCAATATATATATAGTATATATTATATTGATGCCATGATACCAAAACGTATATAGTATAATGATATCATTGGCGCTACCTCAAAATCAACCTCGTCTGGCAGACCTTTCGACAATCACTTAGGCCATCATCATTATAACGTAATGACAGGCTTTGCTCAAGAAGCTGTAACCTTTGGCAGCTTCAGCCCAGCTACTTCAGCCAGAGATTTGCACCTTCATCGACTGACGACTGCTGACTGCTGATTTTTGATAGTTGCAGCGACCTAAAAAAAAAAAAAAAAAAATAAAACAAAAACAAAAAAAATCTAAACATGCAACTCTCAATCGCCGCCGCCTTCAATGGATGAGCACGAAGCTGCGCTTCAGCGTCACGTTTACAACCTGTGCGACTCACCTGGCGAGGCTGCGAGGCTGCAGTTGCCTTCACATCAGAAATTAAATAAATACGAGCACATAAATCGAGTCGAGACCAAAAGCTGGAAATTTGCACAAAACGCTTTAGACAAATTTGAGAATAACTTGAATCGGTGGGGGGTGATGTAGACTGAAGAGGCGGCAGAGGGGGCAGAGGGGGCAGGGCACGGTTGCTGGAGCAGAGTTCGCACGCAAAACAATTGACAGACGAACCGCAGAGATTGTGATTTCATGAATGTGTGTTAGGAGTAGCATGTTGAAACTGTAACAGTTTCCCATGACGACGACGACGACGACGACGGCGACGGCGACGGCGACGATAACATGTGACCACAAAAGCCAATGCTGTGAATGGGGCGCAGCAGCTGTCGGTTGGCAATAGCCGTAATAACTGTCTGTTGGCTAGACTTACCCCACTTCGTAACGGCATGCTCTCTCATTTATGTAAATCCCCTTCTGCTACTTCTATTTCTTCTTCTTCTTCTTCTTCTTCTTCCTTGTAGAACGATAAGCGCCCGGTCTCAAGCAGCGCCGCTCAGCGTCCCTTTGGCAATGGCGGCTTCTCGCCGAGCGCGACGCGCACACGCACTCAGGCACCGCCGCCCGCAGTGGATGCCACGCCCCAGGCTGCGTCGCCGTATCGGCTGCGCAATCGCTTCCAGCCCTCGACCTCGACGGCCTCGTCGACAACCTCAGCGGAGGTGACCAGCAAGCGCTACAATCGCTTTGGCAGCAATCGGAACGCAGCGAAGTCAACGACGACGTCGACGACGACGAGCAATCCCGGCTCAAGCACACAGAATACGCCTGCCGAACGTCCGAGCTTTGGACGCAAGCCGGCCAGTCCACGTCGGCCTGTGTTCATTAGCCGGGAGGTCAATGAGCCCGTCAGTGTGGTCAGCAAGCGGCCCTTCAACTACAACAGCGCCAGGCTGAAGCTGCCCCGGCCCACGCCCAGCACAACCAGCACGACGGAGGGCGTGAGTCCAGACGAGGCTGAGGATGAGCTGTACGATCAGGATACGCAGGAGCAGGAACTGGATCAGGCAGAACACGAGGAGGCCTCAAGCCTGGAGAAGCTGCCTCTGCAGGAGGAGACAATAGCACCGGCAACAGCGAGCAAAACAGAGGCCAGCCAGGACCAAACTCCGCCCGCCTCCTCCGAAGCAGCTGCAGTGGAAACGGCGACCAGCCAGGAAGCGGACTATGACAAATCCAGCATCAGCAGCACAGAGGAAGCCCAGACAGACTCCTCGGAGGCACAAGACCCGACGGAGGAGACAACGCTGTCAAGTGCAGCGCATGAGTACGAATATGTTGAGGACGAGGAGAAGGCCACAACAGCTATATCCAAAGAGCAAGTCGAGGAAGTGCAGTCCACAGAGGAACAGCAAGCAGAGATGGAGAACCACACCACGGAGCTGCCAGTGGAGACGACGCCTAGCAGCAGTATTCCCACGCAACAGACGCCGGAGACGCCAAAGGAGAGCGCAGCCCAGCAGGAGGATGAAGTCGAATACGATGATGAGCTGGGCGAAGAAGGTAAAAACTTACGGAACTTTTGCTAAAATCATATATGATTACTCACAACATTTAATTTCAGGTGCTGATGAATACGAATACGACGAAGAGGAGGAAGAAGAAGTGGATGCAGAAGAAGCCAGCGAGGAGAACAGCAACAATGAAAACAGGGCGACCACTGAAACGGAGCCGCAGCAGGCGAACAGCAAGGAGCGTGAACATGACGACGAACGGGAAATAATTTCGGTGGTGACTACGAAGAGCGTTGTCAATGGCTCGACGGCTTATCCGGCACCAGTGACGCCTAGCAGCTTGGGCAGCACACAGAGCGACAGCCAGCCGGCACCGCAGCTCGATGAGGATCAGACGGAGCTAAGTAATGTGATCAATACGACTCCGCTGCCCACCGAGGAGGCAGCCACGCCCAATGTAACCGAGAGCTATGTGGTGGTGGCCTCGATACAGACGAGTCGCAGCATCAACGGAGCTCGCTTCCTGCCCTTCCCGGCCATTGAGCAGGAGGAGACGAAGCAAACGCTCTCCGAGCTGGAGCGAAAGGTGCACTCGAAGCATCAGCAGAAGCAGACAGACCCCAGTGAGAGCAGTGAGGAGCCCAGCTCGACGACGCCCACAACAACATCGGCTCCGTCAACATCATCGTCCAGCACAACGGAGAAACAGCTGCCCGTGCAGGGCGCCTCGACGGAGAGCATCATCGATAAGCTAGATCGCGTGCAATCGGAGCTGTCGAGTGGCGTGCTCTCTGGCAAGTATCCCATCATTAGCCAAATGGACTCGTCCACTCCCGCCAGCCTCATGACAACGGGCTCGGGACGCTTTGTGCCCCACATACGAAAGTTCCAGCCACGCACCACCTCGGCGCCCAGCACCACCAGCAGCGGCGGCAGTAAAGTGAAGGTGCACCACTACGATGAGAGCGAAATGGATGAGCTAGCCAGCCTGTTGCCGGTGGGCTTCAAGCCCAAGTCGAGCTATAAGAACCGCAAGATAACGACCACCACAACGACGACAACGGAACCACCGGCCCAAGAGCAGTCGAAGAAGCCGGGCCGTAACTCCACCATCAGTCGCTCCTTCAAGAATGGAGTTGTCACCGTGCAGGATGTTACGCTGGCAGGGCTCCTGCCCAAGGGCTACAAGCCACCCAGGACGACACCGTCGACCACAACGACGTCTAGCCCCGACCAAAGCACCACCAAGGCGGCAGCTGTGCTGGAGAGCCTGTTCGAGGAAATCAAGTTCGATGATAGCCTAGCAGCGCTGCTGCCCAAGGACTATAAATTGAATGCGACCTCAACGAAGCCAGAGATTGTTGTGGTCGAGGACATTTCCAAGTTTTTGCCCAAGGGATTTAATCTCTCAACGACGACAACAACAACAACAACCACTCAGAGATCGCCCGCAGTTGCAGTTCCCTTCGACGATCTGAGCAAGTTTCTGCCGCCTGGCTACAAAGCGCCAAAGGAGAAGGATGAACCCAAGCTGCCAATTGCCATCACTCCACTGAAGATAGACGATATTAGCAGCCTGCTGCCGCCTGGCTTCAAGCTCAACGGCACCAGCAAGCCCAAGCTGAAAGTGGCTGCCGAAGACGATGAGCTGCTGGCGTCGCTGCTGCCACCGGGTTACAAGCCGAAGCCCGTCCATCCCGCTTCGACGACGACCACAACGACCAGCAAGCCAGAGCCCAGCACCACCGAGAAGTCGACAAACGAGAGCAGCTCCGGTGGCGGACTTAAGGTTGTCTTTCCCAAGGGCTTCCACAAGCGCCTGGGCTCCCATCGACTGACCACGCCCCACACACCACACGAGGGCAGCGAAGGGGCACCGTCATCGCCGCCTGTGGTGATCAAGAAGGGTCCCCCGACACGCGCCACCACCGAATTCACTGGCTGGCCCACGCCCCCCACCACACCGCTGTCCATAGACAAGCTGAATGCGCAGACCATCAACTTTGAGGATCTGCTGACTGCAGCTGGATCCAGCTCGACCACAAGCACCACCACTACAACAACGACCACTACGACGACCACAACTGCCAGGCCCACAAAGCCGGGCCATTGCACCGCTGACTGTGACTTGGAGGCAACTATCAAGATTATCGATGGCGTCGCCTGGAAGCCGGAGCTATTGGATCACAATACACTCGAGTGGAAGAATCTAGCTCACGAGCTAGAAGCACAGGTACGGTGCATGCCTCGATTTACTTAATCTCTCTCTAACTTAATCTCTCTTTAATTTCTAGCTCAATGAGGTCTACTCCAATGCTCCACAGCTAAGCAAGTGGTATAAGAAAGTGCGCATCGATAGCTTCAGCGAAGGCAGCGTATTGGTGGACTATTACGTGGAGCTGGCAAATATTACCGAGGATGTGGATACTCTGGAGATTAAGCAGCTATTCCACGATGCCCTAACCAAGCCAACAACGCCGCTGTTGCCCGAAAAGGATGCGCAGGAGAACGAAACGGATAGTGTGTCCGGGCCGCAGGAGGAGCAGCTAGTCAAGGCCAGCTACCAAATGGGCAAATTTGTCATTGATCCAATGGCTACCGAATTCAGTGGTGAGTAGGTGGATTAAGAGTATTCTCAATGGGAGTGCTCGACTAGAAGATACCCGAAAATACTGTTTCCAAGTAGATGGAAGCCCAAGTCTTGCTTGATTTTGGCAATGGGGATTCCAATTAAATAATATGCTCTTAATACTCCTAACTAATTCTGCGCTTTTGTTTCTTCACAGTCATTGCCAAAAATTTGCACACCAATGTGGAGTTTGCCGAGGATGATCTGCCCATTCCACAGTGGGCAATTGTCGTCATTGTCATAGGCGTTGGTTCGCTTGTCTTTGTCGTGATATTTGGTGTCACAGTGGTAAGTTGCATCCTCGTTCGCTTGTTGAAGCAAATATTAATGACGAATTCATCCCGCTGCAGCTGCTTAATCGTCAGAAGCGCGCTAAAAAGACTCCGATTCCACTGACCAATGACATGCTAAATGAGCTAAAGGTCAATCACATGGGCGGTGCAGACAACTATGGCGTTGATGACTTTTACAACATAGACGATCCCTGGAACGATACCAAGCAGCCCATTAAGCCAAAGGTAAGCAGAATAAGCCTCTAGTGAGAACTTCCTTCAATATGATTTAATTCCCTTGTATCCCTTATCTCTTTTCAGCGTTTCACCAATTCCATGCATGGCAGCAATAGCTCGAACATCTACGATAGCTGGCGCTCGACTCGTCATCCAGCACCCAGCAGTGGCGACTATTTCTATGATCAACAGCCCACGTATTCGCAGAAGGGCGACTCTCTGAAGCGGGCGACGCCACAGAGTCATCATCATCATCACCATCATCGGCAGGAGCAGTATCCTGCAGGACATCAGCAGAGCTATGGACATCAATATCCGGACGCCTTTGCTGATGCGCATCAGATGTACAGTTACAACAATCACGCGAGTCGAACGCGTTACGCCCGCGACTACGATCCAGATTTTTAGTTTAGTCTCCCAGCCACCCCAAGACTAACCATGCTCTAGCTTTAGAAAATTGCAACTGATTCGGTAGTTGCGACTTAATAGCTTAAACTTTATACGTATGAGTAAATTATATAGCTGCTCAGTAACATATTTACACACTAAATAAGTATAAGGCAGGTTTCTATATACTATATATACTCATTATATCTGTGAGTTGGCTTAGCTTATGGAGCTGTCCCTTATACACCTAATTGATGTCAATCATCTATATTGTTTACTAAATCGAAAATACTTGTTCTATATGTAACATACATATATGGGACATAGGAGGTCGCATGTGAGCTTCCAGAAATAAATAGTCATGCACTTTTAGTTAATGCTAGATTGTAATTATATTGTAGTCACATTGAATAATTTAATTACTGGCGGCATAATATATTACCATTCACCCAACTTTATATGTAGACAATAAATAAAAGATTAATTATATATTTAAGCTTTGAATTTTTATTTAAAACATTCTTCATGGGAAAAAATTAATAAATCAAAAAAGTATTGATTTGCCGAAACCCGGGATTGAACCGGGGACCTTTAGATCTTCAGTCTAACGCTCTCCCAACTGAGCTATTTCGGCACATGGCAACATATTTTCAAATAAAGTATTTAGAAACAGCAGTTGTGTCAAAGTCTTTCGACATGGTTTGAGTCTCTACTAAAAGCTTCAACGCACATTTACTATAGGGAAACTAAATTAAAAGAAATAATAACTAAATAATATTTACATAACTTTCATTTTTTAAATTTTGTGTCACTCCCTTATTCGCTGTTTATAAATTCAGAAAAAAACTTGCTATGCCGAAACCCGGGATTGAACCGGGGACCTTTAGATCTTCAGTCTAACGCTCTCCCAACTGAGCTATTTCGGCACGTGGTTGGGTCCTGTCAAACATATTATTTCCAGTACAAATATAGAAAAATAGACTTTCATTCAACTTTATTAGAATTATCAAGTCAGTTATTTGCAAGGGTCGACAAAATCAGAAAAATTAAATTATTGTTACGAGAACTCTTCCTCAATAGTGACATGATAAATATGAATGGTTTAAATAAAGCGTAATAGACATTTCATATCTCTTGAATCATTTTCAAAACATAGCATAACAATACGCCTATTTTGAAAATAGGAATGTATTCCGAAAATATGTATTCGATTTAAATATAAATATATTCGAAGTAAAATTAAAAAATTATTGTCTGCCGAAACCCGGGATTGAACCGGGGACCTTTAGATCTTCAGTCTAACGCTCTCCCAACTGAGCTATTTCGGCCATATTGTGCTTGGATTCTAAATACAATTTTGTTCCTATAGGACAGAGAATATACAGCATTTACAGTTTTTGATTTTGCTTTATTTCTATTGGTTTTCGTCATTTTGCAACATCACAATATACAAATATGTATGTGTGAGCCCTAATTTATATATATAATTTAATTAAAAATATAGACAGAAACGTTTACTTCAATACATTGTAATTTACTTCTTAAGTCTTTGATTATATGAATTTTAAAGATTGTTTGCAACGATTTGTTAATCTTTTATGAAGAATTTAGCAGGCTTTCCGCTCTTGTTCATGGAGTTGTCAGTTTATCAATTTCAGATAGAGCTTAAAAGTTAACATTCAATTTGTTCTTGTGTCTGTTGTATGTATGTATGTCTCTTGTATGTTATCTGTTGTATGCTAAGTTTAATTGAGGTGTTTTTCGATAATGAAATCAATACAGGTTCGTTCTAGGGATTCTTATATAGCTACTAATTGTTACAATTTAATTCAAAGACAGTTAAAAATTTTTACTAATATCACTTTCTAGAAATTTGTCCAATTCGTATTGTTCATCAATTGTAACGTATCATGTGCCTACATATAATTTGTTCATCGAAATATTTTAATTAGTTTTGGCATAAATTGAGTCGCAGGCCGAGCCGAGCCAGCTAAAAAATAAAGTATTTAATCAAATTCAATTTAAATAATTTTCATTTATTTAAAATTTTTTAAAATAACTAATTAGAATAATTGAGTAATTTTTCAAGTGTTTTTTGATTTGTAATTGTATTTGTGTTTTTGGTGTTTAGGGAAGGGTGAATGATGATGAGTAAATATTTCAATTAAAATTACATTTTTATGAATATGTATAATGTGCTCTTTGTGGGACTGAATGATTTTTTTTTTTAGAAAATGTGTGCGTGTGTGTGTATTTAAAGACAATATTAACAATAATAAAAAACTTAGCATTGAGTTGATTTCTTTATAAATGTACAAAATATAATTAGTAAACATAAAAATGCATTTAAAACTAAACAAAAGCAATAAATTGCTGGTTCAATGCCTACAATTATAAAAACTTGTTATCGTGGTTGTTTTTTTTTGTTACGCCTAATTATCAACTATGATATATATATATATATGTTTTATATACATATATATAAATGTAAAATGTATATGTATATGGGTTCAATAATTAAAACTACAATTTATAACACGACGTAAACAAACAAAGGCCAAGGGTAGACAGCTGAATACAAGTATATATTTATATAGATATACATGTATTTATGTATGTACGTTTGAGTGTATATGCACTTGGTAACTATGTTAAAGAACTATCGCCTTTGAGTGGGCAACACATAAATATGTATGTAATAAGTCTGTTTAATTGTTTTATCGTTTCATTCTTAAATTTGATTTTGTTTTTTGACTGCAAAAGGCGCAGCAAAACACTAAACAGCATTGCGGAGCATTTTTCAACAGACAAATTCCAATGCAATTTTTGTTTTTTGGGGGCACGCAGGCCAGTATAATTTTGATTTCAAATCGCTTTCATATATTCTTGTAAGTGATATAATGCAAGAATGAGTGTACAAGAATGCGCTCGTATGTGTAAAAGTGTGTATATGCATGTATGTGTGTGTGTGTGTCTGTTTTTGCGTATGTGTGCGTTGTAATTATTCCACAGCAAATCCACAGGTTTCCTCAACGGCTTGCGTCAGCTTGTCACAGAGCAGCTGATAGCTTTCGTAGGGCGGCAAGTCAATGCGATTGAAGCAGGTGTGTGCCTTGGGTAAATTTTGTGTGGGCACATCTGCCGTTAGATGTATGGTAAACAGACGTGGCCCCACCGCTCCTGTAGAGCCTTGCAGCGCACGAAATCCTTGCAGCGGCACCCGCGAAGAGCCCGTCACAAATTGCAGTAAGCGTGCACGCATCTCAGAGCTGTACGACTCAACCACCTGAAACAAACGATATGTTATTTGGCGAATATAATTGATAAGGCGAATAGGTGTCTTACCTGCCAGAACCACTGAACCTGAGGTGTTTCATTGGTACAATGTTTCATTCTCGTATTACTGCGCCAGTCATTAACATCGATGCTAGAGATGCCTCCAATAACCAATTCCAATTCGCGCTCATCAAATGGCCGCAACAAATGGCTGGGTATCAGTTCGCAGAAGCCTAAGCGATTACAAATAGGCTTGAGTAAGTAAGGTATTCTATATATATAATAAAGAGAAATAACTGACCTTTCTGCAGTGCCAAAAACTGTTGCTCGATGCCACGCATAAACCGATAGTTGACATAAAGCTTTACATACTCGCGCTTATTCTCCTCGGTAACGGGAATAGACGCCCCGCCGGGCTTCAGCTCGTGCACCACCAGAGCTCCAAAGCTATTGTTCTCCACGCTAAATGTGGACTCGATAATCCCGCTGATATTGCTTTCCCTGTAAAATAAAAATAACATTAAATAATTGAAAACTAGAAGACTCCCAATTTGTACTTACAGCATCCAAGTGAGACTGCGATGCAGTTCAGGGTCCACACCCTCAATATCTCCTAGGGTGATGGGTTTGTTCAACAGTTGCTTGTAGAAGGGTGTGGTAAAGCCGCCATCGAGACAATGGCCATGGAAAACCGCAATGCCCAGAATGCGGCCAACGAAATGAAAGTAGGACAGGTGATCGGGATTGATGCTTGAATCTGGATTGATTTGCAGCGTATAATGATCGTCGCGGCTGTACTGGAATAGGCCGTAGTGTGGATTGAGCATCTCGCGGGATAACAGATGAAGCCATTCGCGTGCCACCCCACCATAATCCAGGCCCTCCTCGTTCTTGAACTTGACCATGAGCCGTTTGCGCATGTCCTTAGCGCGCATCTTCATAATCAGTCTGTAGCTCTCCTCAAAAATCTCGCTGCGCGACACCTCCAGCCGACAGTGGCCCGACTGTGGCTGCAACGTTTGCAGTTCCGAACGCAATGCCCGCATTTTGCCAACCAAATCGCGTCGATACTTTGGCAGTAGATCAGCGCCCTCAAGCAAACCCTGCGGCAGGTCCGGCACCACAATGTGCGGCGTAGTTCGGCGATGCGGTGTGGCTGTCGTACTGGCTGAGTTCGAGGTCGCAGGTGGTGGTGCTGCAGTCGGTGGTGGCGCTGCCGTTGCTGGTGGAGCTGCCGCTCCACTATTTGGTGTCGCTGCTGGCGCATTTCCACTGCCATTGCATATCCTTTGGAGTATGCTGCCGCTCAGCCGTGGATCCGTGAACTGGGTGGTGCGATTATTGTGATCTACAAAGTAAACACGGCCCGAGGCCGTTTTACGCTGCTCCCAGCCGCTTGGCAGCGACCCAATCTCGTCCAGCGACAGATGCTGCGTGTCAAGATCGCGAGGTATGCGCGGATCATGCCACGTGGAGACACCAGTGAGTATATGATAGAAATACACCTGACCCTGCTGCGTCGTGCGCATCTCATAGCCCGGTGGCAAGTCGAGAAACGGACGCGCCGCCTGATTTGCCGCCGCTACAGCTGCCGAGCCGTAACGCACACCACCCGGCATGGCCGCACCACCTGCGCCAGTATTTCGCGTGCCCCGTGACGATCGCCGACGCGCCGCTGCTTCCTCTGCTGCCTGACGCGAGCTGCGCCGCTGCGAACGCTGCGCAGGCGTTGCCGTCCCTGCCGTCCTCTCCGATCTGCTGCTAACTGGCTGACTACTGTTCGCATTCGGACTATGCACGCTGCCGTTGCCGTTGCCATTGCCGTTGCTGCTGCTGTTGGCGGTGGTGGGTGTGGCAGGCGTTGATGATGAAGATGTCGCGGTGGCAGCGGTGGGGCTCTGCCTTGGCGGTGTTGTTGCAGGCGTGGTTGTCGTTGTCGGTGTCGTTGTCGTGCCATCCTCTGCCTGCCAGCCGTTGCTGGAGCCGTGCTGAGGCTGCGCCGACTGGACACTCTGGGCGTTGCCATTCACATAGTTCTGCTGTCCAGTGGGCGATGTGGGCGTCGCCTCGCCCGGCGCATGCCCGTTCAGTGCTGTCGACGTTTGATGCTTTGGCGTTTTCACATGATTGTCGTTGTTGCTGCTATGCAGGCGACCAGCCGCCGTCGTTGTTGTTGTCGCATTGTTGCTGCTGCTGCCGTTGCTGTTGCTGTTGCAGCTG